GCCCAAAACGACAAAAAAGTCGTTTTGTGTTTTCTTCACAAATTTTTTTTCGTTTTCGAAAATTCGTTTTCGAAAACGGGAAAGAGAACACGTTTTCACCGTTTTGAAAAATCGAAAACAGAAAACGACCCGAAAACGGTAAAGAGAACAGGGCCTTAATGTTTCCCCTGATTCTGTATGCTTTTATAGTGAGACAGAAACCGCAGGAAACACCACTTGGATGGATTTAACAATCATCTGTGATTGCAGCAAATTCATCTGTTTCAACATCTTATTTTAATTAGTTTTCCTATTAGCTATTCGAAGAGTACAAAAGAAAATAATGTAAAATATCATGATATTACAGATGATATCTGATTTGTGAATGTCATAGTCATCACGTAACCGGGAAAAAAACTTATAAATAACAGAAAGGAAAAGATAAAGAGTTGCTCACATCATATGCAAGATGGATGCTCTTGAAAACCTCATCAGCTCCTAATTCCTTGTTAACATCAGGATGATACTGCCATTATAAATCAAGCATAACAGCTATTAGAATAAGCATCATGCAGCATCTCCCTAAGCAGGTCATATAAACTATTGTGACCATGTGTCTGAAAAAAATGCACGAAAAAAATTGAGCAATATTTCCTATCTAGCTACATGTGCACACTGATGCGCCCACAACTAAAGAAAAAATTGCAAATATGATGCAATTGCAAAATAAAGATGAAGCAAATAAATAATCAGAGGCATAGGCACAATAGAATACTGGCATAATGTTCTAACAAAACTTAAAAGAATTGGTGTGCTTTGCATTATAAACATAAAAATAAAATACAAGCAGAGAAAAACAATCATTATCAATATACATCTCACCTTTTTTGCATGCTTCCATTTTCATGCAAATGTAGCATGATGTACAGTTATATTTGACAGTTGGGAAATTAGAAGGGAAGAGAAAAGATTTGTAATGGATTGAAGAACTTGGGATCAGAAGAAAAGAGAAACTGATAACTCTGATATGTAATAGTTTGAAGAACTGGGAGATCAGATGATGGAGATCAAGATACAGATAAAGATAGAGTTATAGGTTAAATAGAAGTTTAAAATAGAGTTTGAATTCAACAGTCATTTGGTTAAGACAAAATATCGGAGTATGAAGTTCCAGTCTAACTCGTTGGAGTCCAGTTCTCATAGCCGGAGAGAAATGGTAAAGATCAAGATACAAATATTGATATATAGTTCAAATAGAAGTTTAAAATATAGTTTAATTTCAATTAGATTTGAGTAGATTAGTTTTGATATTTTGATACAATTATATCTTATTAGAATTTTATTACATTTTTAACTCTTTTAGTTTATTTGCTCTATAAATAGAGAGGCTTATTCATTGCAATTCACAACTTGATTATATGAATAAAAATTGAATTTCCTCTTGCCCTAATTTCTTCTCTTCTTGGACCCCCTTTCTTCCTGTTCTCTCTCTTGTTCGTTGTCAAATTATACGCTCCTGCATCACTAGAAGTGGCATTGATTGGAGATTTGAGGATTGTAGTTGTGAGCATGAAAAGGAGGTGATTATTTAGTGACAACCACAAAATTTAAAATTTTAAATATTAAAAACTGTCGAGAAGTTAAGCTGAGAGGATACAGGTTATGCTTCATGATAGCATAGTTTTCTGGCAAATTTGTCCTTCCCTCATGCTCAGATGCCAATACTTTATATGGAATTATTAGGAAGTCGAAGTTATTTTTGGAATTCAAAAATATGATGAGACTTAATGAATTAGGGTTGCACTAATGCCACTCCTCTAGAATGCTCTAATTTAACGTAGTACAGATGGAGCAAGAATTTCACACAGCTCATGAAGTAAAATTCTGAGATGTAACGGTTTGGCAACAAGCATTGTCACTGAGGAAGCTCTGCAAATATAGATGCCCTTCGCTCACAACCTACGCTATACAACAGTAGAAAAGGGAGAAATAGAACAAAGAAAAAGGAGAAAAACAAGGAACTAATGCTTTCACCAGACTTGTGACAACACTTATCTGCTAAAAACTAATTTAGATTAAAGAGAACATCCCAGTCTTAATTGCAGTGGTTCAAGGAAGATAAGTAAATAAAGTACTGACTTTCAAACTGCTAGAGATGCATGGCAGATGGTTCTTGCTCCTTTGTAGAATCAGTGGGAAATGTTTACAACGTTAGGCTAGCTTTAATGTTTTACAAGGCAACTGGATGAGAATATCAACAGAAAAATGGGTGGTGATAACAAATAATATATACTGTAAATGCTGTGCAAGTAATAAAAGAGAAGATGCTATAAAAGGCTTCAGCTGTACAGGAAGAAAAAACCCAGCTTGGAAACATATTTGTAAAGGTTAGACACTAGTGATGATTCAAGCTATTTCATTTTCATTCGTTTGGTATGATATGGTCCTTTAGAAAATGTCAAAACCGATCCTTTCTTTTCCCTAAAAAAAAAAAAAGGAACCTTTCCTCTCCCCTCCCCAGCCATTTCATTTCGGATTAAAAAGATGTGAAAGTGTGTTTATCTTTATAAGAACAGTGCGTTCCGAGGTGTGAGGTGGGAGAGAAGAGATATCATAATTGGGGTTTACATGGGTTGACAGCATAGGGAACTTTCTGAAATCTAATTTTACATATCCAGAAAGTAATGTTATGCTTGTCAGCCACTATGATGCAAATGATATTATAATTTGGTAATATATTACAAACAATTTTATTCAGATCATGCCTCAGATGTTTTCGCATTGCATGGGAAGTATAACTACGTTAATGTAGAACCCAAGACACTATGTTTCGTGAATGCCGACAAGACAAATTAACAAAAACCCAAGTGAAGAAGATTGATGTAGGGAGGTGCAACCACTTTTCCCAAAAGCTATAGCTAAATGGAAAGACACAATCAAACCCTATAACTCAAGCACTTCTTTTGG